ACCAGAACAAAATCCTAACAATGTATTAAGAAATATAAATGGTTTTGTGTGCCGTCATCAACTGAGACAATCCAATTTCCAGTTACTCTAATCGACAGATTACCCTATAAAGGTAACAACAGTCGAGTCTATGAGTATCAGTATACTTTGCACTGTCACACTCAACCCCAAACACCTGTGCACCTCACTAGATTGTGGAGCTGTCCAGATTTTTTCAAAATTTTAACTACTTGCATGTCACCACTGTGTACAGTAGTGACTGCATTGGTTGCCAGAAGGTTTAAAAAGTAGTAGTTGAATTTTGAGAGTGTGTATTCATAAGTAGCTGGCCACCTACCCAGGTTCCAATTATCCAAATATCAAGTACTTAATGAACCAAGGCAGAACTTAAGAAACAAAGACAAAAGGAGACACAGAATTGTCATGGAGACAACTTCAAGCTGATAGAAGTTTACAGACCCTTGCAGTTACCATGGCAGCCTATCTTATGTACATTGTACTCCATGTATCTGTATGTGGGTTATCAGGCGTGGGTGTAGCATTATCCCAGCCTGGCTGCATGGCTGATGCTACTTTTGATTGTACACAGACGTTAAATGTCATCGCTAAGCTGGCACCTGGCCTGAATATGATTCAACATCAAAATGTAAAGCACCTGACAGCCTTGGTCTAATTTGCTCGTAGATTTCATTACATGCTTTGAACAGAATTAAACAGAGCTGGTTCAGTCATGGGTGGGAATTTCAGCGAGGTTCAGAAGGGAAGTGGAAAATGATAGATGCATAAAATCTTTACAGCTAAAATACGTTTTTAAAACCTTTTAAAACTTTTACCTTACATTCATTTCTGTAGCTAGAAATAGCATTTCTCTGTCAAAAATAATCATACTAGGGTCACCGCATTTCCATTTAGTGGCAATATATATGATGCCCAGTGCTAATAATTAAGTAATTCTCTGACCCCAGACTGGTACATATTTGGTTAACCAGGGAGAAAAGGGTAGAATATTGCAACAAAAGCAATGAAAAGAAAAGTTTAAAAGAAAAAATTCCCTTAGAAGACCTTCAGTTACAGTATAAGGCCCCTTACGGCCTGCTGTGGTGAAACCACTGTTCCAGGCTTCTGATTACAGCAGTCGTACCTGTGAAGAGATGCTGACCTATGTTAATGCACTTGCTGTGGTGTGAGTGAGATTGGTCTTTGGAAAGGCAGACCTGGAAATAGCTGGCTGAGCTTTTTTAAGCTGTGGGTTCAAGCGAGGCAGCACACCTTGGGCTAGTTCAACTCTAGGGAGACGAAAAGGTTGTTCAAATGTCACTAGCAACACCCCAGCCCAGACCCCAAACACAGTCCTGCGCCAGCCGAGAAATGAGTCATTTGTGAATGTCTCAGATGCCCTAAGGCCATGGTGTGTGTGACAGAATGTGTATTTGTGACTCTGTGTGTGATGACTGTAAATGAGAGCAGTACAACACTGAACACGACACTTGCCATCTATGATATCAAGCTAGACGGCCACAGGCCACATGCTGCTAAATGCTCAGTAAGTTACTCCATCCCAGTTGTTCTCACCTTGGGAACAGACCCCTCAATAGGTCACAAGATCACTTTAGCGGCTCGCAGCACGATTTATGAGCTCAGAAAATAATAAATACAAAAGTACTACAATAGCAGTTTTTAATTTGTCGGTCTCCACAGATAGGGAATAAAATAAACTGCTGTATCTCAAAAAATAATTCTTCAATCAACTCTTCACCACCCTCCATGCAGCGCATTATGAGTAGGCAGCACCTCATCAACATGTATAACCTATATAAATTCAGTGGTAAATGATGACGATTTGGGTGCTAAATGAGTACCAGTGGAAGGTAACACTTTGCAGTCTATGTAAATTATAATTGCCAGATACCAGAAAAAAAAAAACAGTGTACTCAGATAGCTAACCATTATTCAAAACACACAAAAAAACATTTAAAGCGCTTGTCTGAATGTGGCATATTCCAGCACAAAACTAGACACAAACAGAATATAAACCTGAGATAAGTTTCATTAGAATGGCTGCAACCTTTACTCTATTTTCTATCTAAACTATTTTTTGCTGTGTTACTAACAGGCCTGCTACAGTAAATTATATTAGAGAGAAAGTGCACAGGATTCATTCCTAAGGGTGAAATATAGAAGACTGAAGGACATTTTATTCAGAGTGTCTGTAGTTTCATTAAGATAAACCCCTGACTTTTTAAGACCTTTCCAATGATGTTTGCGAACAGCATTAGGAAAAGTTTTATGCATATATTTGCAAAAACAAATAAATCTTAATGTTGCACTTTTTTGGCACCTTGAAATTAAACTGATGATTGTTGGATATTGTTTTTTGTTTTTATAAATCCAAAATTCAAAAATCAGTTTTTGGCCATTTAAGTTTTGAACTAGAAACCACACATGGTTTAACACCCATCAGCTTACTAACATAACGCCTGTCCAGAACCCCTGGCGATATGCAGCACCGATTTTATGACACCGGTACCCCTTCCATAAGGGCGACAGTCCAATTACTTAAAATTCAATCAGCATTAACGTCGTCACTGAGCCCAGACAACAGACATTAATAAGCTCCACATCGCCCTCGCCGATGCAGTCATTTGCTTCTTTCCCTCCCTCCTGCATCTTCCCTCAGTTCCATTCATTTGGTGTAGCTATTAATAGCCCGGCCACCCGCCTATCAGTACCATCACTACTCCAGCAAGACAGAGGATGTGGGCATGGCCCAGCCAGTGGAATGAGAATAAATGAGCTGAACTAAAGAAGCGTGTTCTTATGCAACGAGAGAGAGAGAGAGAGAGAGAAAGAAAGAGAGAGAGAGAGAAAAGAAAGAAAGAAAGAAAGAAAGAGAAGGAGAAGAAAAGGGAGAGAGGAGAAAGAAAAAAAGGGAGAGAGAAGAAAGGAGAGAGAGAGAAAGACCGAAAGCCGAGAGAAAGAAGAGAGGAAGAAAGAGAGAGAGAAGAGAGAGGAGAAAAAGAGAGAGAGAGAGAGACGGAGAGAGAAAAAGAGAGAGAGAGAGAGAGGAATAGAAAAACATGTCCATATGAAGAAGGAACAATAAGTGTAAACAGTAAAGTGAGATGGTAAATAAGACAAGGGAAAAGAAAGATACTATAGGAAAGAGAACAAGTTAGAGAAATGGGACATAAAGAGCAAAAGAATAACTGTCCCAATTTACCAGATAAAGATGAAAACAGAAAGATTAAGGAAGACAAAGACAGAAATTTACCCACTAGGTGAAAGTCAACTAAAAATATGTGACTCAGGAAAAGAGAGAAATCTGCCAGCTCTCTTGACGTTTACACACATTCCTTTTCTCCAATTCTCCCCTCAGTGACTACAATCTCATATTTATGGGTCCACATTCCTACCTCTCTCCATTTTTCTTCTTTCCATTTACCCCCCCCCCCCCCAGCAAAGAAAGACTATTGTATTATCCATAAAAGTGAGGATCTCTGCTTTGCGTTTTTATATCGCCTCCTCCACTTGCTGCTGATGCCTGGTCCAGTGGGGCTTTGTCAAACTACCTACTGGTTTGCAAATCTCTCTCTTAAAATCCAAAGATGGATCTCAGACCTGGGTTGACTGCTCCATCAATGTAGTCTTACTATGATTGATGACTATAGAAAACAAGCATTGCGATGTCAGCTTTAGTGGAAAAAACCCTAAAAAGATAAATACAAGTAACAAGAGCATAAGTATATTTATGAAATCACCAAAATATCAATATATCAAGTAAAGTAACAGATATTTACTGGATTATACAATGATGGATTATTATCTTTACGATAATCATGCAACCCGATATGTAACTCGAAAGGTGCCTCCATATGGCAAAATTACATAAAGCTGTAGTCTCATGCAGTGCAACTCATCATTAACAGCAGTGTTATGACTAATACTCCCACAGTTGAACTTTGTTTGTTTGAAAATCTGTAACGATGAAAAGTTAAGAACTGTTTAATAGCTTGCTACCTATTTTAAATTCAATATGCCTGTCAATCTTTCCATCTCTGCTCACTGGCCAATAAAACTTTAACCTTTAACCTCGACTATGACTTCCTTACTACTGGTTGTCTGTAATATCGGTTAGAATAGGTTGGGTGTTTGTGCAGACGAAATGTTACTTTGTTCTGTCTGATAATCATTCAAACGTGATTACTTGCTGCTTGAAGCTCTTGGTTCGTTTAGAGTGAACTGGACCAAAACTAAAAGGCAACAGCGCATCATTTTGTTCCCTTGGTCCTGACCTCAGTAGACCTTAGTCAGCAGGTACAAGTCCACTTTTCAGGTAGTGCACCAACTTAAACTCAACCAACGACCAAACAGGAACATTTTAACTGCACCAAATGGGTTATATGTGAACACATCCTGAAAAATGTTCAACAGTTAAATACTAAAGGTCCAATTCTTGCAAGCTCCCTGGGAGGCCAAAGGGCCAACACGGGCTGTAACTGTCCTGAGACAGCACTACATGCATTTAAATGTCACAGCTTAATGAGAGTGTTCTCCTACAAGACACAGTTCAGAGGAACATCTTTAATAACAACAGCAATATCAGTGATGTTAGTAGTCTTAGACATACTATGGTAAACAAAATAAGAAAAAAAAAAAAACTAAAGGAATGATAAGCAAGGTACCATCAAGAACACCGTTTTCCATATTCTAAGTTTACATGGAGTCACGAATACAGAATAGGAGAGACAACTACACACAACAACCTGTTAAAAGTCACTTTTGACCAATGCTGAGCCATGAAATCCAGTGGAAACCAATAACAGCATGTTGGCATGCCAGCCATCAGATCGGAATATAATAAGAAAATATATTACTGTAAATGCACACAACAGTGAGCAGTGAGCAGTTCAAATACTTTCACATAAAAACATGATAAATCCATATAGTAAGTGAAACTAACCAGTTGTCCCTCCTTGGTCTGTGTGTGTGTGTGTCTTTACCTTGGTGATGAGGATGCGGTAGTGCTCAAGCAGGTCATGGTTGTCGTGGCAACCGGCCAGCAGCTGCCAGACTTCAGCTCTGAGTGGCTCAGGAATGCCACTGCGAACCAACGAGGGCAAACCCTTCGGACGAGTGGACAGGTTCCCATGCCTGATACACACACGCAGATGTAATCCATTATATTATAATCTCACTTAATGCAATTCAGCCACTTTGAATATTAATTTGAAGTGCAGGGGGGCAGATTTGATCTTTATGTCCTTTGTGTGCAACAGTGAAATTTGTGCAGTGACATTATGAAGACCAATCGAGTCAATCATGTGCAGAGTTATACGCCTGTCGCACTGGAGTATTCACATTATACTAACTACAGTACCAAGTACAGTACTGCATTGTATTGGAGTAGAGCATTAACCGCAGTGCTGCCATGCTGTAAGAGTTCTCCCACATGAGGAAATATCTTGCTTTTGAAAACACGCTGTCAGCTCTTTTTAATGATGCTTGAAATCTCATCATAATGCATTTATTGAGGCCATATGAAAGCAATTTCCCGATAAACTACTTCACTTCATTGTGCTGATGCAACAGCAAGAAAACCGGCTGTGAAATCAAATGAAAAGCCAGAAACATCTTTTATTCAGTTAATTATGCCAGTGTCTGTATCTAAAGCTGTATGTTTCAATGCTGGTTGTTGTAAAGGAACAAAGTATTACAACAATGATGAGTATGTGATGAGTGAGTATGTGTCATAGACGATAAATTAATGACTGTATCTGAATGGAACAGTTTTCCACACAAAATGAGATGATAAAACAATCAAACTGCAATGATAAAGAGGACCCCGGCCCTGTATAGTAAATCACAGTCTGTATGAGGCAGGGTGGGCTTGATTGACCTTCTAGCATAATTGCATTTATTACAATCATGATATATGTATACCAGTTTATGATCCATCTTCTGTTTACACTTGTTTTTCTTTACTATATCCTAGAAGTTGCCGCTGCTGCTCTGATTCATTCACAAGTAATAGAAACTTTACGTCTTCTTAGGCAATGTTAATGTACAGTAATTTTTTCCCTTTTTTTCCCCACTTACTGTTCCCCTCAACTTTCTTTAAATTTAGTACTTGATGAGATTTTAATTTTATATATTGTGTTATATTTTATAACACATTGACTTATTCTAGATTTCTTAGGCAAATGTTCTTAACCAAAATATACCCCATGCAACTGTATACAATTCCATGAGTCAATATTTCTCTCTATCCTGTATTTCTTTATCATTTATTGCCTTTCTTCCTATTTGAACCTCTCTCTGTCCGGCTGTTTTGAACCATCTAATTTCATCTAAGTTTGAATCACTCAATTTCCAAATTTCTGTCTTTTTTGGAGCCTTACCATCTATTAAGGATTCCTCCCCATGACTCTAGGATTTTCTCAGGACAGTCTTTGGAAACATCTCCTGTCCCACTGGAAATTTCACTGTCACTATCTGCAGAAACACAAACACATCCAGATATTAACAAACATTTAGAGCAAATGGAGCATTCCTGACATATGCAACCTTTGTCCACATGAGAATACGGTACTCATTACGACACGTTCGGTTTAAGACCACGTTAAAGGCCCCAAGATGTTGGTCCATCTTTAACAAGACAACAGGACACCTTTTTTGGTCTGGAAGATCTTTCGTCACTTGTTCCAAGATATGTCAGAACTTCATCTCACTGCTGAGGAGTCCTAATATGTGTGTATGTCTGTCAGGGAACTGCATTGCACATTTTAAAACCTGTTAATATTGATGCTACGCACTCAAATGGAGGAAGGAGTGCCTGTGCAGTGCCTACACTTTCCATTATTGCAGTTCTTCTGTCTGGTGGTTCGTGAGGCAGACAAGAGGCAATCAGCACAGCGAACCACTTGTGTTTTGATGCAGAAGCACTAATTGACTGTCTGGCCTGCTCTGCTGCTGGAGAGATGAACTGATCCCCACACAGAGACCGCCCACTGGAACACACACAGTGGGCACAGAGATTCACACAGTATGTCCAGCACATACACTGATCAGATGTGTAGTTCATAATACTACATGTGTATGTACAGTACATATTACACAGAAACATTTGTAGAAATGTATTACACATGGGAAAAAGAGACACAACTATAAAATTGGATAGTTAGATTGATGCACACACATACAGTCTCTTTTTGGTTCAGGGTGAACTCTATAATCTATCTTCTCCTTAAACTCTTAAGTTTAAATGGATGTCAACAAAGCTTTTTCCTATTAATTCTGGTCTATAAATATAAAACAAATGGGTACCTCTCTGTTTCTATGAAAAAAACAAAGTATTTTTTTACCCAGAAAATATGCAAACATTAATGTTGGGCCATGTTTATCTACAGTATTCATGTTGAGTATGTGACACACTGATGATTAGGATTTGCATAGCTAGCTGTTTTTCACCACAAATTTGTGGTAAGAAAAAATGTGTTGTTGATCCACTGTAAATCAAGTTTGACTTATCTTGTCATTATTCTTAAACAAAATCTTATCACAGATGTGTCTTTTCTGCCCTTTTCTTGAAAGAAAATAATGACTGGATAGATTAAACTAGTCATCCTCGATGAATTAAATATTGTAGGTGTTTACACAATTTTAAAATAGTCAAACTCAAATTTTTTAAAGCTCTTATTAATGCTTGTGAGAACAAGAACAAGATTTCACAACTAACATAAATATGAAAAAACACACTGGTTCCAATGAACTTCTCAGGGCAGGACATTAGGTTTCACTGACATCTTAACAGCAAAACCAAACAGCCCTCAAAAGTGTTAAAAGGTATTCTCTCCCACTGAAGCCTTTAACATTAAATAATGAATCAATACATTTTCTTCTAGAACATGCAGCCACTATCCTCAATGCAATGCTGCTCCTATACATGCTTAGCCTCAGCAGGAGCTTTTTAGGTCTTTATAAATGCTTGATGAGCCCTTTCAAATGGTTCAGACCCGGCACAAAGCTGCTGCCTCTGTCCTCAGATTGGCTAAGGCCACGTGCCGAGGAAGCGTGAGTCCAGTGCCACTGCCAACTTACCAGGTGATGAAAGAAACTGTGAAGACGAGGACCATTACCGTTACCTTTTAATCTGGAGGGGGGCTGTGCATTCACTGTAGGATTACTTTCAAATAGGATCTCTCTGATGTTGAAGCCACTATTGGATTGGTTTTTGTCTACATTAAAGTGAGAAGAAATACCTTACTAGTGCCTTGAAGATGTTCTACATTTAATATTTTACCCTATTTTAATGTAATTTTATTTATATCCTTTAATTTTTAATGTCATAGTCATTACTATGTCTTGACCTTTATTTTTCAACCTTCACCTCTTATTTGACAGAAGTATAGTGAATCAATCAAGCTGTGTGTCACTGTATTGTAATATGCAAATACAGAAGTTATAGTAATAAACAGAGGGCCTGTATGAAAATACAGTATGTATGATCACAGTCTGTGAGAATGTACAGTATATGAAACAGGAACATACAGTTTTCGTGTGTATGTGTGCCTACGTGTATATGAAAAGGGCAACAAAAACACAACAAGCAACAAGAGGAAAAGGCTTCAGGCCTATTTTCCACATTGCAGCTTCCAAGAAGAAGAAGAAAAAAAAAACATCCACATGAATTGAATGTGTGTGTGCTCACAGCAGTGGCATCTACACTGGGAGTGTATTCATTTCTGTACACAATGAGGCTGACCTCCAGCTCCACAGCCCTGAGCGCCTTCAATTTTCAGCTCTGGGGGAGTAGAGGGGCGTTAAAGAAAAAGCCCTCTGAATGGCTCCCACAGTGGCCGTTGAAAGCCGTCAGCTCCGGCCTTGGCGGCTGACTCGTGACTTTGGGCGAGTCGGCAGCTAAACACAGGAGAGACGATTTCTTCCTCCTACTCTGTTAATACCTTTTAGTGCTTCAAGGTGATAAAAGTAAAGGACTGTTGACAGTGGCAAAGAAGAGAGAGAAGCGACAAAATAACATGAAGATGAGCCTCCAATGTTAGATGTTCCCATGTATCACAATTTTGAGAAACATTAACAAAAAAGTTTTTAATTAGTTTTTAATAAGGGGGTGCCTTTTTCTATTTATTGCTGCACTAGAAAACTGTGGGCTTGTATATCTTGTTAAAATGTCAAAGGCTAACAGCTAAATGAACATAGAAATGTGCACCTTTATCTAAACCAACATTATGAAGCGTGCAATCTGAATTGTGGCCAGGCCTAATCTGCGACACCTGCACAACCGAGCCAGTGGTCAGGTGGAAATGCCAGTCCTGTTTATATTAGTGGGCTGAAACTGGGTCATGTTTGGGAATCACTGGAGTCTAACAGCCAGTGTTGGTGCTTTTAATGTTATTGCTGTTTTGCCTCCATCCCTCTGGCATAGCGGGAAAATATCCACGCTGCTCTGGCTTGTAACCTAAACTGGTCATGTTTAAATTTAATGAATTCAGTGTCTCAATACACACAATTACGGGGATTCATATCACCAGCAATGTGGTTTGTCAGTTCTGATTGATGGTTGTTGGTGCGTAATGGTCAGTTTGCAATGATGCAATGGTCAAAAGCTTGGAATGATAAAATTATTTCATAATGTTGTCATTTAAACAACTTGCACTACTTGGCTGATTAGGGAGATTATTAATGGAACATGAAAAACCCCAAAACAACCATGCATGGACGGGTCTGCTTGACTTAAGAGGGCTGTTCATTTCAGACAAAAAGGGCATGTGGGGGGTGTTTGATGGTAGTTTGATACTGCAGTGCTGTAGTGCTATAAACCAACAAGCCCCAACAGGATTGGGCCGGGTTCCACACACAAATCACTCACGCTTGACGCACGAGCAGACACACAAGCGTGCATAATCACACAAACACACACAGCTATCAAAACCCCTGAGATTCTGCCTGCAGTCATTGCTTTTCACAGTGTAACACATACACAAAGTCTGTGGTAAAACATAGAATACACACCCTTTCCTTCACACATATGCAAACAAACACAGACACACACTCAAACTCAGTACCCACAATTTATCCACATTCCCTTTATCACATGTCTTGCCACACTCACTCACACACACGACCCACATAAACTCATGTTCACACACACACACACACACACACACACGCATCCCTGCCAATGTTTATGTCTCTAAACAAAATTAAACTTCACTGTTGATTCATATCAGCCAATGACTAGTACATATGTGTTTGTGACAAGGCAACGCAGGAGTATGTGTGCTCTGGTAAACCTCAATTTCAGCCTGAATATCTGGACATATAATCTCATTAAATTGAGGCGTTCATGCCACCCAGAAAAAAAAACGCTGGATATATGGAATGAAAAGGAAATGCTCCCACCGACAAGTTAGTTGTGGTAAAGCAATTGTTTTCTTTTTTGTACCTGAGAAGGATCACAAGTGTCTCGTTTTCGATGATATTAAAAGGCAGTGAGGGATTTGTACAGCTCTATGCACTGTGAGGCTGCATTTTTCAATCAAGCAAGATTTGGAAGACAATTATGTTGAGTTGGGGCTCGCACACACATATGAGTATGTGTGTATATTCGGAGGAAGGCATTGTGATGAAGGATTCTGGCATCTTATCAGTGATGTACAGAGACAGGAAGCCTAACTGGCTTTTTAAAGATGAAAAGAATTTGCATTATTGGTGATTATGCAGTGTGGTACGGTTGGTATATATTGTATATGATTAACTTAACAGAGTAAAAGGGGTAGAAAGCAAACTACTGAAGGAGAGAGTGAGCATGAAAATGAAAAAGGGAGAAACATCCATACCTTCATCAGCCTCCTCTTCCTCAGTGGGCGAGGCCAGTCGTCCTCTTTCTGCATTGCTTCTCTCTGCCTCCCTCTGAAGACTCACCACCTCATAAACAGCATCACTCTGACCCACCCTCTCTGGTGCCTGCTGTATACACACACACACACCACCCAATCAGACTTTTTTGATCCCCAAAGGGAAACAATGTCATGCATTGAGAAAAAAATATTATTTATAAATACATTTTGAAAATCAAAAATATTAACAAAAAAATGATTGACATATCTGCAGGGCAGTTTTGCAAACTTATATTTAACTGCAAGGATAGAAAATACAAAGATGAAAATACACTTTTGTCTCTTCATAGAAATTCATACCATGTGTTGCTTTCGTCAGGAGGTACAAACTGTTCAAATGTTAACACAAAAGCAGCCCCACTAACAAATTTCAAAAACATTACCATTACAAAATGTTTTCTGTTGCTTACAGATTTGTTAAATTCGTGATTGCAGGTTTTTTTTCCTTTCTTGTGAACATAGAGATTCTGATTTTCTGTACAGTAATTCTCTTTAAATATACACTGCATGTGAGCAGCCCCTAATAAGGTACAGTAATTCATAGACAAACTGACCAAAACAATAAGGGTACATCAGCGCCAGGAGACAATCTAATGCTACAGGGGCTCGAGAGGCTCAATTAACGTGCAATGACGAGCTTTAAATCGGTTTTACATATCCAGACTGATCCCTTCAATCACAGGAAAGCTAGGAGAAGAGGGTCATCCAGTGCGAGAGTGATCATTTGCGCCATTAAGGACATTGATTATATCATGGCAGCCACAGAAGCACCAGAGTCATGGACTAGGATCGAGTTCCTCCAACCAGCATACAATCCATTCTCATTTGTCCAGGACAGACAGCAGTCCCAGCCCCAGAGAGAACTGCTGGTATCCTTGTGTCAGTATGAGATTGGCAGTGCAGGTCTGATCTCAATCTCAACAAGGTAATCAGCTTGACCACCCTTACACCTGACATTGACCAACTGTCTGACCAATGTGTCAGGCCAAAGCTCACTGCCCCATCAGATGACATCAATGAAAGAAAAAGAGCCAGGAATGAGGACCGAGGCAAAAAGCACTACCATCTGCAGCAGAGAGCCTTCTGCAATCCAACTGAGGTGGGATGTAAGGAGTTTGCAGGCCTGGCCCTAAATTAATCAACTTAGCAAAAGTCAGAGGGGTGAAAAAGAAGAGCCATATAACACTACGGAGAGAACAAAATTATGACAGGTATGGTAAGAGTAAGAAAGAAGATTGTACAGAATTAACTTAGAAGGTTTATGTAAAACTATTCAGCCAACTATCATTGATTAAATATGGGTGTGTTTTCACGATCTAATAATATTTTTGTAGCAAATGTTGTTGAAAGACTTGGCATACCATCTGTGTATTTCTTCCTTTTCAGTCATGAAATGCATTTTGAAGTTTGTGTGAAATTTTGTGTTGGAACGATACACTCAAATAAAACAATTAATTACTTTCATTTGGGAGCTGGTAAACCCAAGTAGGGATAAAACCCTAGTTAATACTTTACAAAAGTGTTAGCTAACAAGTTTGTTTTAAAGTCTAAAAAATATGTAGTAAATATTGCTTGATTAGTAATGTTTCTCGGTACAAATCCTGCGTCTGACACAAGAGATCGATAAGGCTGTTTGCCCTCATTGTTCTCCGAAGTTTGCTGGAAGTGATGTAGCCTAAAGCCCTGGTGTACTATGTGGTGTGAGCACTGAGTAAGCCATTTTAAAAATAGCCTTTTAAATGCTTCATTGTTTGTCAGCAACCACTCATATGGTAACTCAGAAGGCAATTTGGCCTGATGTGGTCCGTTTGTTTTTTCAGGTCCAAATGTTCTGTAATATTGTAATTATTTCATTTTCAACATACATGAATATAACCATAATTATAACCATATAAATTCAAAACACAGTTTACACCTATGTTCATTGCCAAAAACCACACTTTTTGTATTGGGTGAAATCAATTAAAAGGTGCATATGCATTTTGCCATGGTTTTCAGCGCCGTTCATTTTTGTCTCAATCCGTAGGACTCTCTCCTTGCTCCAGCTCAGTGCTGCCCCTTGAATACACTGAAAAAACCCGGTCCGGGAGACAACACAGGGCTCGTAAATCGTAAACACATACTAGGGGACGCAGTCTGTGCACCAAAACACAACAAACAGTTTCCAGCCATCACCTAAAACGAGACAAAGATGTTTGGGAAGAAGGGGTGGGGGTAGTGCGCAGAGTTGATTGAGTAGCGTACTGCTTCCCGATTTGCAGCTCGACAGTGTAGAGAGGCGAAACAAGAATTATAACACTCGTAAGCATTTTCAAGTATCATATTTTGTAGTTCCTAGCTTTTGACCTTCAACCCATATGAGCTGCCCACGAAACCGGCTTCCGTAGCAACTGCTGACGCCAGTCTGTAAGCCGTCCGGATAGTCGGGCGTGTGATCGTAGCAGCGCTATTATGTTGAGTCAAGACGAACACATTATTAATGAATTCGTTATACGAACAAAGATTTTTTGTTAATGTCGAGAATAACGAATTCATAAGTCGTATTCACGAGATACACAGAGCATAAAATAAAACAAATCCATGGCCGTTTCTCGGCTTTTCCGTATCTTTTTGCATAAGTCCATACAAGAATTTTCCAATATATCCGCTTAACTAAATTACCTCACATCGTAACATATTGTATAGAAGACTGAATTATAAATGTACTCACTGAACAGTATTGGAGTGTAGCTCCAGCCAATACTTAGCGACGTTAGCGGTAGCCACACTCCAACTTAGTGGAAAACATGGGGGGGGAGGAGGTTGAGCTTTGACTCTGTTTTGTTTGGTATTTACTTTGAACGACAACAGAAGTGATGTCATGCAGGATCGCATAGTGCACCTTTAAATGACCAGATGACAATCTATCATCATCACTGCTTAATACAGCTTTTAGACTCTTTAAATTCATCATAATGGACTAAAGAAATAGACAAGAGAAGAAAGACACAAGCAGCCTTGACCTTGAGTGTCATAAGCTACTGATGTTAATTTCTGGTCTATTCAATTACTGTAGTGCTGTTGCCTCTCTCCTCCACCTGGTAGAATGGATCAATGAGCTGCATTGATCTGCCCACTCGCATGGCATTAATGACTAACTCAAGTCAGTGATGAGAGCGCAAATTGGGAGGGAATATCAAGCCTGGCCATTTTCTAGAGAAAATCCTAAGTAGGCTTAGGTAACAAATGAATTATTAACTCTGATACAATTGTGACAGAAATGTGGGCCAAAGAAGGCACACTGTACAAACACAGTATAATCTACTGTGGATTTATAATAAGAAAAAGAAAGCAGAGAAAAAAAAGGATTACCCAACATTGTTTGTTGATACACAAAGAAAAACAGTTCTCTCTGCTCAGTGTTATTCTGTGAGATGAATACCATTTTACCTCGCAAAATAACAGATAATGGGTCTTTGTATCCAAGGGTTGCAGCACACTGTCATCTGTCGTCATCTTAAACAAGGGTGGCATTTCTCTGGAAAACCACTGGTATCCCTCTCTACAGTTGGTTCCATCAACTTCTGAATGCTGGTTCAAAATTTCATTTGCTCATCCTCAAAGCATACAAGCTGCTATAAGCTTAGTTATAAGCAGTTATTTTGTTGCGGTTTTCCAGCATCAGAAAATATGGGTGTTCCCTTGCAGAAACATGTATGTAAAAAATATTTTATGTTTACAAGACATGCACACAGCATTTTTTTCAGTCCTAGTCTTGACTTCGTCTCAACCCTGTTGAATTTGACAGGACTCAATCTTGAAATAAACTTGGATTGACACAGATTATCTTGCCTACAGCCCTAGCAGGTTTGTTTCCACAGTAAAGCAGACACCAAACACATTTCCCAGTGATGGAGACACAGAAAACATTCTGAGAAGTTGGCACAGCTAATGGCTCCCGGTTCTCCAGCTGGCTAATGACAGTTTTGGCAAAATAAGACAATAGGACTACATATTTTATATGCGTGTGTTTCACCTCTGATTGCCATCTTCCACAAAAACCTCCACACAATATTATCTTTTAATTAGCTCTTAACCACAGCACCAGTCCAACACTCTTCCATTTACTGAGGAGATAACTAGAGAGGCAATCAGGCGGACGAGTCAGACCGCCGCTGTTAATTACCCACATGCCAATAATGAGACAGAGCCTCTTATTAGCTCCCTACAATCCAAAGCTTCCCCACACTCCACTGCTTTGCCAGCTCCCCACGGCCTACTAAAGGAGATCTGCTTTTTAACAGGGGAGAGGAGGCTTACAGCTTAACTGTATTTTTTTAAGCACCTGCACCAACTGCTCAGGCTGGGTGTCCTTGTGTTGGTGGGAGGTAAGTGAATGTGCCATCTTCACTCTCTCAGCACTTTTTAATCAGACAAGTTGTGAAGAAACTCAAAAAGGGCAAACATTTTAGGGTGTGTGATGTTTGCTATCGCACATCGACATTAAGATACAGAAAGGATTCAGCTTATTCGTTGCGATGAACTTCACATCAGTGGATTGTGGTTACTATTATTCAGCTGCCAGAGATCAGCTCACAAGATAAATGCGGTAACTGTTTAGCACAACTGCTAATTTTCAGAGACGATTGAAATGTTGACCTGTGCAAAGGTGAGGTTTTGAGTGTACCCATATAAACAGTTTGTATCATTTGTACAGCCTATGTTTTACTGTACAAAGAGATCCGAGTCAGATTTTGTGTTGAAGGAGGGGGAGGGATCAACATGTTGAACATCAATGCACCAGCTTGACAATGAGAGGCTGGCAGACTCAAAGATAAAGCAAAAGTAGAAAATGCACAGATGGAAAGAGAAAAATGGAAGTCAGCTGATAAGACATTTACATCTTTCAACACACATTTTTAGCTCTTACAACAAGTGTTTCAGCTCTCTTGGGTACAGCATTTGACTGGTCACTGACACACCACCACGCCTCCAAGTTGTCTGCTCTGACCTCCTCCTCCACTCCACATATCCTCTTAAGCTGCCCAGGCACTCGCTCCACTTTTCTCTGGTCTTTGTGGAGAGCTTGGACTGTGTTGGGAAGTGATGCTGTTTTGGGCTATAAAGCCCTTTGAGACATATGTGATATTGGACTCAGTAAACTTGACTTGACTTAAATAACCTTGTGAAAGCAGTATGGCTGAAGACTCATTTAGTCTGTCATTACATTTTTATATCTAATTTATTTTGGACTATTCTGTGTTCTTCTCACCATTAAATATCATCATTATATAATTGACTGGCTCTGTTATTTACACTGACAAATCATTCAACCATCTTCTTGATGGACTGAAATCATTGAGAAAACCAACCAATTAGAAAAAGGGGTCGATAACATCCACTATCACAATATGTGCAATCTTCATGATAATATCAATACACATTATCAAATAACTCAAACATTGTTACACTACATAAATAACAAAAGAGGAATGTCTTCTTTTGGCTAATGCAGTAAATTAAATAATACAAATAAATAAAAAGGAAACATCATTATACTTCATCAAAGATTAGAAAATCATATAACAATTTAGAATGACCGTACAACACTTCTGCACAGTGTTTTGCAATGGTACCACTGCACCCAAAGATATTAGAGGGATAGCTACCACAGTATACAGGATGGCAAAATCATTGACGGTTGAAAAACATGTAAAATCTTTCAGTATAAATCATCATATTGTCCAATACTATGAGCAATCAATCACAGTCTACAAACAAACCACAAATTAGCCAACCAACTAGATCCTAACAACTAAGAGATCAATATGCCTATAAATCATCCAAGACATTGGATATGTAGAATTAATAACTCAGTAGCAACAAGACTATTCTGCCTCAAAGGAGGTTTTGACAACGATCCAAGGATCCTTATCGTTTTTTACAAATTGGTGGGTAGTTTTACACTCTGTTTGCACTTATTTTACACTTTGTATGATATTCACACCTTGATATTCCATTGCTACTGTCTCAAGAGTCCACCCACCAATCAAATGGGCTATAACCTTCAAAGGCTAATATCCGACCACTATCGTGATCCAGCAATTGCCAAAATGAGATCAAGTTATAAAGCAGAAGCCCACCAACCTCTCAGATTGTGGGTTAAAGAGAGATGATTTAAACCACATGCTGTATGTATAGGTATGTAAAGTATAAAGATGATTGCAGTTTCCATGAGGGCTGTAATGGTTGCAGTAGAAATACCTGTCTGAGCTTGAGGTAGAAGGTCTCACTGAAGGTCTTGCGGCTGAAGTACCAGAAGCGTTCATTTGATGGATACACCCTGACCAGAGTTTCCAGCAGGAAGCGAACTGGCTCCACCACCTCTGTGACTACCAAGTCCGCTGCCACTGTCATGTAGACCTGCTTATCTGGAGCAAACCAGAAAGAAAAAGCAAAAATGAAGAAAACAAAGGCAAGGTCACCGTGAGGGTATTATGCAAGACTCCTTTGTATCTTTTCCTTTTATTTAAATTTTGATGAATCAATCTAGGTCAAAGGGAACACAGATTTCAGTCAGGGAAGCTAATTTACCTACCATTAAACAGGTATGTAAATGAGTGTTAGGTACACATTATAAACAGCACTAGGTGCACTGCAGCTTTCAGAGCATTCAAAGTGTAACCAGCATATGAACTGCTTGCCAGCCAAAAACTGGTACACATTAATAAGTCTGCACCCACATCTTTGTCAAAAAAAATGCCAAAAGCCTTTAATTATGATGCTGATGTTTTTCGTCCTTCTCAAAAATACTCTGAGCTATTAAAAACAATATATCTTTACAATGAACATAGAAATCCACAAATGTAACTAAACTGAAGAGATTTTGCTAGTCATCTGATTGGCTTCTACTGGGAGGAAGGAAATCCACACCATCTATCCTGTGGGGATGTCACACCCCCTAGTGGATAAGGACTTCACATTTATGTCTCCAACATCACAACTGAAGACTACATTTATATAACAAGAACCAGAAGATAGGGGATTCTTACACTAACACTAATCACTTAAGGCTTCTGTTCTGGGAACAGTCTAATTATAAAGTAGGAATAAACAAATGGAAAAGAGACAGAGGGGCTGGAGAAGTTATATCACAGTAGGCAGTTTTTATTTTTTTATTTTAATCAACTTGTGGAGAGACAAAAATTAACTACCAACATCTTAATATAGATTTCAATTATGAAAATGTCAAGCACAAGCTCCTGATTTAAAGAAAAAGAAATGATTTTGAAATAAAAAAGGACTTTTAAGATCTTTAGCACTACTGCTGAGATAGTTTACTTCTTACTATGAAGTATCTACAGTGGGTACAATCATATTAGTTACTGGTTAGTTACTACAAGTTATTCAGAAGAAAAACAGCTTAAGGCATAACATTTTGGACAAAGAACTCTGTAAGTTAAATTTTTGCTGCCATTTTTATCACCAGAGCTTGAATGACTAAACAATCGTTGAACAAAAGTAGTTAAATATCAGAGGGACTTAAACTGGTTTCAAAACCTCCACCTCAATTATGTAAATTTTTCTACATCACAATTAAATATATAATGTGTGAATAACAAGTAAAAACTATTTGTATTTCTTTTTTTGTAAATATTTCAACTATAAGAGAGATTTTACAAAGTATGTGTAACGCCTATCAACAACTTCTGACCGTCTCTGACTTCTCTCTGCCAGTAAGGATGTGGACAGATTTACAAGTGAAAGGTGTGTGTGTGTGTGT